TGAAATGTGGAGGACTGAATCCTGCCTGCAGGTGGGAGAACTGGTGCTTCCTGGGGCCCCTAGGCCAGCTTTCTACTTGGCTTTGCTTTCTTGAGGACAGGCCACACACTTCAGATCTGCTCTTCTCACAGCCTTGCCCATCCCACATCTGCATACTTTACTTTCCCAGACCCCTAGACCTGCCTCTGCCCTCCAAGAGGACAGATAATGTATTGCATGTACTCACTGCTAAGAAATGTGAATTTTACCCAATTTATAGGAAATAAGAATGGGACTTGGAGTCAAACAAATCCAAATAATTTTAGCTTCGCTGAAATACTATGGAATTTTTGAGAAGGTGCTAGACATTTCTCAAGCTCAGTTATCTATCTCTAATGAATCTAATAATACTTCACTGGCAAGGCTGAAGGAAGGATGAAATGGATTCATGTAAAGAAAGCACTTAGCACAGTGCCTGGAAAATAATGTAGGTTCAACAAATATAATTTTGCCTTCCTTTCCCCCAGTTGGGTAATATCGGTGCTTATTAATAGCCAACCACATCCTGGCCCCAACCTGAAGGTTCTGCCTTACCTTCATGGCAATGACGATAATCATGAGAGTAAAGGGATAGGGAAATCGGCCTAGCTTTATTAAACAGATACAGAACACTTAAAATAGATCATCATTATTACTGCTGTTATCATCCTCTAAGCTGTTGGCCTATATAAACATTGTGTAAATTAATTCAGCATCAATTTACTTGCAAAGATGCATTGCTCCTTAAATATTCTGATAGGCGGTCTAACTGAATTTTTTTTTAACTAAAAGACTCCCCAAACCTATAATTTAATAAACTTCCACAAATTAGGGAAGGACTTGACTAAAGTTGCACACCTTCTTTTTAAGAATGTGTGAATTTCGTGGGCGTGAGGTGCAAAAGCTGGTGTTTGAAAAATAAATTAAAAATAGGTCTTTAAGAAATAAAAATCTGTGTCTTTTGGCATTGCTAAAATGTAGAAGATGCATCCACAGTGCTTGGATCAGGTAGCCAAATTGAAGTTACAGTACCTGAATCCAGGCTGGATTTGGTTTCCCTGAAAGCCACCCACACCTTCAAACACTGTTTTCTAAAGGCATGTGCTCAGAGTTTTGTTAACCCAAATATTAGACATAATAAGAAATTATACAGAATCTAGTTAAATGCAGGATCTTAGAACTACAGGATTTTAGAACTGCAAAGCATCTTAGAGTTAAACTAGTTTAAACTCTAAGTTTTACAGAAGAAAATACTTAAAGCCCAGAGAAGTCTTAAATTTGCTGAGTGACTTCTCATTTAGCAGCACAGGTGAGTCTCATGACATCTTTTGGTGTCAAAAAAGATGACTTCCTGAATGAGCAGAGGAAAATGGCAGAAAAGGCCCCTTTTATGGGCTTCATCACTTGGTGAGAAGAAAGAGGCAGTATGTTTTTGGGAAGCCAAGTGCTGCTTCTCTTACTCCTTCAGAGGTAAGTAAATGACATTTGTGACGCACTCTCTAGGGACTGACAATGATCTTTCCTAAAGACCTTACCCAGGAACCTAATATATATCAAAACCAAACAGAACCCAAGTTTCACATTAATACCATATGCAGAATACAGGCTTTGCAACTGGTTTTAAAGAGGTCTTTCAAGTACTTCCAAGATAAATTCTTTGAGAATGCTTGTAGCTCAAGTATCATGGCCAGGTTCAGATACGTTTGAAAATCATTTGCAAGTATTTGAATAATCCAAGTTAGAAAAAAGCTGATTCTACCTATAGAGCCTTCATTTCTACTTAAAAATTTTTTTTCCCACTTCTCTTTCTCTTTTCAATGATATAACTCTACTATTTCAGATATATAGGCCAGAGGGAGTGAGAAGTTCTGAATTAGAGCAAATGGTTGAGGACAGTTTTTCAAAACTAATTCCATGGGCTGCTAATAAGTGTTATTTGAAAAAAAAAAGTGCTTGGCAAACATTGTATAAGTTAAATTAAACAGGATTCTTCACTAAAATACTTGTTAGTGCCTTTATATGCTAATGTGCACTGTGAACCTTTTGGGAGAGTTGAGTAGATATATAATATAATTTTCAGAAGTTTCCTAACTTATTTGATCTTTTCCCTACAAATTCTGTTTCAATAATACTGTACTAGAGCATAAGTTACCAAAAAGCAGTTCAACTTACATCTTGCAGAGTCCTAAACTGCATGAAATGCCATAAGAGAAAAAAAGGAGAATCATTTATTCCTTGGGTAGATTTTTCTTCCTGACTTTCCAAAAGCTATTTCCTACACAGGTAAAGTCAGGGTGTGGTTCTTGCTCAAATGCAAAGTTGATATGTTATGAAAAAATGTTTTCCATAGAACTATGGAAGAGGAGGTAAAGCTGAAAGGGCCATAGGAAGACACTTTTCATGTCCAGTATGTAAAAGCTAGAAATGAAACTTCTTTCATTACAGTGAGAATGAAGAGACTTGGAGTCAGCTGGTCCCTTCTGCCTCTTCCACACTTTTGTGTGCTTTCGGGGATTCCTCAAAATCTGGGACTTTACAGAGGAAAGTTGGAGACAACACATTCTTACATGTATATGACTCCCTTATTTTTAAGAAAGGTGGTAAGTTACTTACCAAAACAATTAACTTTGTTAGAACATGGTACTATTGACTAAAAAAACCTTCCTGTTCTGATGAACATTTGATGGGACTGGTTGAGTGCCGGCCTAGAGGCAGAAGAGAGGTGAATAGTTTGGTGTAACCACCTAGAGGAGACAGCAGTGTTTCCAAGGCAATATGGGGAGAGAGGTGAGAAAAGGCACGGAGAAGAGGTGGGGGAAACGATTCAGCTGGAGGATTCGAGGCAGGGGTGAGAGGTATTACAGATGTCAGCAGGGGAAGATATCCCAGGTCAGAGCATCTGTAATTACAGACAAGTCTAAAATTTCATTTTAAATTATCTGCATTATTATGATTATAAAACTTCACCTGTCTTCTCAGATCTTCAGTAAAGTCCTAAAACCATTGTGGAAACTGAGTAATAAACAAGTTTTCTGTCTCAGGTAACACAGAGAGGGACATAAGGCAGCAAGAACAAATACCATAGAAATGTAAGAAATCTAGACATCAGCAGAAATCTTAGGGAAAGCATCCTTATATTTTTACTAGCATGGGATGTACATTGAAGAGTTGGGGATCATCTATACATCTTAAGGAACAGGGAGATCTCAGCTAACATCTGAATAACAGAAGGAACTTATGGTTTTAGGAGGAATCCTTCCTTTCCACTGGCTTGTGGCTTTCCCTACAACCCCAAATAAGTTGGCCTATAGTCCTAATGATCAGTTGGCCACATCCACTGGATGCCTTGCTAGCACTGTAGAGTTAGCATAACCCTGATCATAACTTCCCCACCTCTTCACCATGTCCCTGTGCCTTTGTTTCCTGCCTCTGTAGATGCTTGTATCACTCATTCCATTTCTCAAGAAGCAACTTAATCCTTAGTTTGTTTCACCTGTTTATGACACAGAGCTAAATATCACCAAATCACCCAGTTTTTGCTGTGGCTTATCACTCTGCTCTGTTTTCTCCCTTCCTCAGTTTAGCTCGTATTACCTTGCTAAAACAGTTCCAAGCGCCACTTCCTAGCTGTTCCCTCTCTCCACTCCATGCTGCACCAGTTATCTATCTAAATTGTAGATCTGAGTAAGTCACTCTACTGCTAAATTTCATTTTCTAGTTCTCCATGAACAGGATGAAGTTCCATGAAGCCTGGCTAAAAGCTTTCTTGCAGGTGTGTCCTGCCCCACTACAAACCTCATCCCCTGCCCTTCCCTGCCCTATATGCTATGCTATAAGGCCACCCATACTATTTTCACCTCCAGCTCTTCATCTTCTTGTCTTGCTCTACAAAGACTTTTAGCAAACATTCATGCTCTATCTCCTTACTGTGATTCAAAATATCAGGTAAAGATAAAATGTCTGATAAGAATTATGTTTTCTCTTCAGACAATGTTTGCCTTGTTTAATACTTCAACTCAAAAGAATAAATACATGTACATGGACAGTTCTACATGATGTATCACACTCGTGGGAAAGACCTACAGACATCTTTGCTGGTTGCTCAAATTATACTTGCAGGTAACTACCACTTTACACGTATGACTGAGCTTGAATGGAATGCCCACTCTCTGAAGGGCGATCCTGGGTTATGTTACAGGGTAAGGCATAGATTATGGCTTCAGAAGAATGGGGCTTGGGACTTTGCTTCATCATTCATTTCATTTCAAATTTCTGAACTTCAATTTTTATCTGTAAGATAATATCTCTTTCCCAGGGTTGTTATGCAGATGGAGTGGAATTAGGTATACAGAAAGACTGCAAACAGTAGAGAAAGGGCTTTGTAATTTTTCAGAGCTATACACAAATGTGAAAGTAGTACTGTGAAAAGATAACTGGAGATGGTATCAAAATGCATGGTGCTATGTACTAATTCATTGTGTCCTACAAAAAAAATATGTTGACATCCTAATCCCCCACCTATAAGCGTGCCCTTACTTGGAAATAGAGTGTTTACAGTTAAGATGGTATCACTGGAACAGGCTAGCATGCAGTATGACTGGTGTCCTTATAAGAAGAGAAGACAGAGATGCACAGGGACAAGGCCATAGGAAGATGGAGGCAGAGATTGGGCCGATGTATCTACAAGCCCAGGAATACAGAGGATTGCCAAGCATCACCAGAAATTCAGGGAGAGGCATGGAAAGACTCTCCCTCAGAGCCTCCAGAGGAATCAACTTTGTCAACACTTTCGTTTTAGACTTCTAGCCTCTAGAACTGAAAGACAATGAAATTCTGCTTGAAGTCACCTAGTTTGTGGTACTTTGTTGTGGCAGCCCTAGGAAACTAACACACACAGGTATGAGCTTAGCTCCATCGTTTACCAGCTCTAGGAATTTGGGTTAAATGACTTAAACTTTTCCCTGATACCTTAAGACACTTACCTTTCTGTGATCGTTTCTCTGAGACCACTGGCCACACCTTTGACCAGAGTGCTAGCTTTGGGGGTCAGCACCACCTGAGATATAAAAAACGAGCCCTTCTTTCTTCTTTCAGTGATGGATGCCTGAAGAAACTGGATCAATTTTTCTGGGTCTGTGGTGTTGGCCCACGGTGCTGGCATCATCTGCCCAGGCCACAGAAAGGGCATTTCCAGAGCCACTGGACTGTGGTAGAAGACTAACACTTGGTAGTCCTTTTCCCACAGGTATTTCAGACTAACTTCCTGGGCAAAAATTGCTGGGCACATTTTATTTCCATAGATGTCTTTCAGCATTTGAACCAGTTTTTCATGGTGGTATTTCTGCATACCATAAAAATGGTTGAAGTCCAAGAAAACCACCTCCTTATGGTGATCTGTGAGGAATGCATTGATCTCCTCCAGGCCTTCATTGACTTTGGCACTGAACAAACCATGAGCAAAGTAAAGTTCGTTGTCGGGGTCTCTGGGCTTGGTGGAAATTCGAAGATCAAAATAACGGATCCCAGCTCCCAGCTGCCCAGTAAAGTTCATTGTTTGAGTGGCCAGCCACTTCCGCATTAGCTTTTTGGCCACAGTTCCAAACACAGAGACAAAATTCTGGACAGTTTCTGGCTGTTCGGGCCCCACTGGGGAGGCTTCGTCAATGTAGAAGCTGAAGGAATCATGAGATCCTGGAAGAAAAACAAGGCATAATTTGGTTATATTTCAGTCCTTTGTCTTTCCAACTTCTTTCGCTCCTGCAGTGTCCATATCTCACCCCCTCATTCACTCTCATGTCTTAGGATGGTCTTTTTACAGCCTGTATGATACACAGAGCACTCCAACAGATCAAATTTATTGTAAAATGATAAGAAAAATCCCTTCTGATGGATATTTTAAATTCAAATGATCACTACTTCTGTAAGCAGAGAATTTAATGTACTATTCGGATTGGCTTTCCATGTACGCAGCATAAGTGACAATTCATAAAGTGGAATTTATGGGGACTCACCAGTTCCCAAGTACTTTGTCTATAATCTTGCCCTTTTCCCCTTCATTTCAGATGATTTTAAGCCCACAGGGCTTTTTTCAATGAATAAAGAAGTGCTTTCCACAGGGAGACAATCAGCGTATGAACTGTTACCTCATACACTTTAGAAAGCCCAAGAGGTCACAGGGATAGAGGGAGAGAAATAAGGCAAGGGGACAGTATAATGCTGGTGTGTTTAACTTCATTCCTGCCCCTACGTTTGGGTAATTGTGGACTTATGAGGCCAAATACTTTTCACATATTGGGTAAATGATCTTTCTTGTAACTTAACACAACTGACCGCATTTAAAAATTAACTAATAGACAACTTTCTTCAGCTATTTCCTCTAAACAGTAAAAGCTCTCTTTGGAGTTGGTTTCCAAATTTAGAAGGATGTTTTCCTGGGAAGAACAAAGACAACCTATTTAATTATTTTATTTTGGGCTGTTACAAATAACAAAACCAGAAATGTAGCGATGAACGTGTATATGGTTTGCCTGTAAGTACAGAGAGTGCCATTTAAATATTATTAGACCCAATAAAGAAAAATTATTTCAAGTTTTAATTTTATTTTTTTAAAGGCTTCCTTAACCCTTGAGAAAGAGCCCAGAACAGATAAAATTAATTCATATATCCTAGATTTTTCATACATTAGGAAGGGCAGATATCATGATTCCCCATCAATTACTCGTCTTCTTTACATTTGGTCTGGTCCCACTTCCAATCTGGTTCTCTCAGAACTAAAAAAGGAACACATTTTTCTAGTTCTTTCACTCCTCCAGCTTAAACACACACACACATACACACACTCTCTCTAAGTTTATCACCCATCACCTCAGGGCCTTTGTCTGATAAGCTACTTGAAGCAATTATTTTTACAGTGATAATAAAAAAATTGTATTATTTATCTTTGTCTATATTCCATGCCCATATCAATCTATATTTATATCTCTGTATGTCTACATATCTATTTTTAACATTAAATAGTCCATAGGAATCACAAGAGGATGGACTTCAGACACCATGGTAGGTTGTTAGAGAAAGTATTTTGAAAACTATTTTGATACCTTGCAAATCATAACCTTTAAGATTTGGAACAGATAACCCCTCAGAATTATTAGATTTTTTTTCAGACAATGAAAGGTAACTCAAACATGCAGAAATGCCATGTTTAATTTAATCTGGAACTGTTTGATCTATTTATCTTTAGTAGATGCTATGGGAAGAAAATGTCAGCACTTTCCAAGTAAGCAGTTTGGATCCAGCATGGGCAAATTTTAACAGGGATTTAAACTGCTGCATATAGATTTAGTAGTTGCTATTCAGTTGATTGCAATATAAATGAAGAAGCTAAATAAACTATACTATGGCTCAGTATACAGCAAGAATATGTTTAAAGAAATAAATGAAAAGGTGAGCTTAAGAAGAGTTATCATTAAATGATCTACCATTAAAATAGGTCTAAAGAAATGAATAAACTCTTGAAATAAGGGTTCATTTATAACATATAAAAAATTTCAAGTTAATTTCCAGGCATGTGAAACAAGGGGATAAAAGTAATTGATTACTTCTATAATCTAGTAGAGGACATAATTGGAAGGAAGCAGAAAGGGCATTAAATATGGCTAAATATCTTTTTCCAGAAATGAATGGTTCTTTGTTTTCAACATGACTTTAGTTCCACCATTCTATCAGATGGTTTTGTGACAAATTAAAAAAAAATTGCCTATGAGAATATAGTTGATAATTGTGTACCACTATTCTATGTTGACAGTAAGAACACTACTTGGGGTGAACATACTAATATAGATTACTATTGAATCACTATGTTGTATACTTGAAACCAACAAAATATAGTATATCAACTCTACTTCAATATAAATAAATGAAATAGTCTAGGAAATTCACTGATTTTGACAACCCTGTAAAAGGACATTATAGTTTCTTGATTACATAATTTGTTGACATTTAAGGAAAAAATAATGTTAAAAATTAAAATTAAAAACAGCTAACAGTCAAACGGAGGAAACATCGGTACCCCCGCCAATATTTGTTCTAAGCTAGATGACTCTGAGGTACAAGCACTATATTGGGTGCAGAATGATACACCAGATGCAAATGTGATTTGGAGAGGATAATGAAAGCATTGGTGGATGCAAGACACTCTAAGCATTTCTCAGTGAAAATATATAATATAGTGTTGGCCATGATGGGATCAGGTCATAAAGGCGTGTGGCTTCCGTCCTGGTGCTCTCTCCCTTATTGGCTCTGACAAAGCAAACTCCCACATCGAAAAGGCCTGTGTGACAAAGGACTGGGAATGCCTGTGTAGGCTCACGCAGAGGGAAGCATGGAAGAGAAATAATTTAAATCACAGGATTTAGGTTTGTAAATATTTTTTGAAAGCAAGATTTTTACGTGTCATTTGTCTAAGATTAAGCAAACAGAGAAAAATCAAAAGTACATCACTTCTTGTTGCTTTGAACAGCAACTAAATATTTACATTCTGCCATGTTAAGAAAATTAATCTGTTATGCTTACTAAATCCTAATCAGTATCTTTCCACTATTATCGATAAAAGGTCTTTGGGCTGAACCTTGGGGGAGTCTCTTGGTTTGGCCATAGTTCCATTTCAAACTACAAAATTATGGGTTTAATAAAGATCAAAGAAAACACATCATGTCAATTTCATCTGTGAACCTTCAAACCAAAAAGGCCCTGTAGGCTAAAGTTTGACATAACCAAGAGTGTGTAACTCCAATATCTACACCTGACCTCAGAACTCAGGCTCTGGCACAATTAAAATAAGAACCACTCCCCTGCTTGCCTCTGCAAGGCCCTGTGCATGTTGACAACAGCTTATGTACGGCACCCAGGGCTTCCCTCTCCTTGCCTGCTCTGTCCTATCACTTGGCAAGACATTATTTTATGCTTTCTGATAATAGGTCTCCTGCATATTTGATGCCTTGATACCTTTTGCAATAATAGGGCCAACACCACAGGAGTGGGGAAGCATATGTGCCTTCCATCTGTGAACTGAAAGAGTGTTGGGTGAGTAGCTGCAAGGGTAGATTTTGGCTTTGAGGCCCTTTTCTAAGGAGGAAGATGGGCAGGTGGCACAATTTCCACTTTCCATGGGGAGAGTCTGAAGTGAAATTTACCCTCTTGTTTTCCCTTTGTGAAAGTCTTAATTCTAGTCTTCTTTTATGACCCACATGTATTTCATTCTCTGTGGCAAAGCCTTTTTTCACTCATGGAAGTCTTCCCTATCCCTCAATTCACAGTTCACCTGGCCTGCAGCTCCGCCATAGCAACTAGTCCTGTTCTAGAACCACTGTGATAAAACAAATATTGCAGTAACACCAAATCAATGGATTTGGGGGTTTCCCATTGCATAAAAAGTTATGTTTACATTACACTAGAGTCTATTAAATGTGCAATAACATTGTGCCTAAAAAAGCAATGTATATGCCTTAATTTAAAAGTATTTTATTGCTAAAAAAATGCTAACATTATTTTAGACTTCAGTGAGTCATAATCTTTTTGCTGGTAGAAGGTCTTGCCTCAATGTTAATGGCTGCTGACTGATCAGGGTGGTGGTTGCTGAAGGGTCGGGTGGCTGTGGCAATTTCTTAACAAAGACAACAATGAAATGAGCCCATCAATTGACTCTTTCTCTCATGAGTGATTTCTCTGTAGCCCTCAATGCTGTTTGATAGCATTTAACCCACAGTGGAACTTCATTCAAAATTAGCATCAGCCCCTAAACCCTGGCATTATTTTATCAACCAAGTTTATATAATATTCTAAATCCTTTATCACTTTAAAATTTCACAGCATCTTCACCAGTAAATTCCATCTCAAGAAACCACTTCCTTTGCTCATACAGAACAACTCCTTACCCATTCAAATTTCATCATGAGATTGTAGCATTCATATTAGAATTGCATAATAGAAATAGAAGCTCTACTTCTAATTCTAGTTCTCTTGATTCTCCCACCGAATCTGCAGTTACTTTTTTCACTGAAATCTTTGACCCCTCAAAGTCATCCATGAGGGTTAGAATCAACTTCTTCCAAACTCCTGTTCATGTTGATATGTTGACCTCTTCCCATGAATCATGAGTGTTCTTTAATGTCATCTAGAAAGGTGAATCTTTTCCAGGTTTCTGATTTACTTTGCCTGGGTTTATCAAAGGAATCACTATATGTATGGCAGCTATAGCCTTACAAAATGTATTTCTTCAGCAATTACTTGAAATCAAAATGACTCCTTGATCTATGGATGTTGTATTAGCAGGCATGCAAACAACATTCATCTCATTGGACATCATCAGAGCTCCTGAGTAAAAAGAATTGTCAATGAACAGTAATATTTAGAAAGGAACCTTTTTTTCTGAGCAGTAGGTCTCAACAGAAGGCTTAAAATATTCGGTAAATCAATGTTGTAACAGATGTGCTGTCATCCAGGCTTTGTTGTTCCATTTATAGAGCACAGGCAGGGTAGAGTTAGCATATTTCTTAAGGGCCCTAGGATTTTCAGAATGATAAATGAGCATTGGTTTCAACTGAAAATCACCAGCTGCATTAGCCACTAACTAGAAAGTCAGCCTGTCCCTTGAAGCTTTGAAGCCGGGCATTGGCTTCTCTCTAGTTATGAAA